CCCCAAAACCCCAAAACCCCAAAACCCCAAAACCCCTAAGGGTGCCACTAAAATGAATAGTATTAAATCATTCATTTATTGATCATTTCTGATTTCCTCTTCAGGGTTGTATCTTAAGATGTCATCTTTTGTAATTCTGCTACGACACAGAGGACACTCTCTCTGGTTTCTGAGCCATTCTAGGATACAACTTTCATGGAAAGCATGAATGTTATCTTGGTTATTGTCTTCTTGGAAGTTGCATGGAAGAGCTATCAGGAGCTCGTGAGGTGTTTCAGAGAAGGATTCAATTCATATTGAGCACTCTTCATAATCCAATTCTTGTCTCAAATCTTCATATATATACCTTCTTAGTCTATCTAAAGGTACAGTTATCAAAGAGTAGCTAAAGGTAATCTGAGAGTTAAGTTTTATATTACTGTAGTTCTTCTTCAATATTTGGGAAAAGCCCATGATCCATGAGAAATTCCAAGAAGCTGCGTCTTCTCCAAATTGGGTCTCCTCTTGGCTCAACATCGATATTGATATCTTGATCTTGGACTCTGATAATCAACTAAATTGTTACTGAAATTAACTCACTGGAAGAAGATTGTTTTGGGAGCATCATTTGGGTCTTCAGGTAAAATTCCATCTAAACTATCTTCGCTTCTGCTTCTCCTGATCAGCTCCATTATTCTTATTCTTTGTCTCCTCTTCTTCAAAATTCTGCGAAGGATTCAAGGAGAAAAGACGAGATAAAATACGATAATACAGGAAGTAATCAAAACTCTTGGTGTGTGAATTAAATAAATCAACAAAAAAATTTTTTTCCCTTTAGCTCCTCTTTCGTCAGTCGCAAAGAAATCTTCCCATGAATACGCCAGTACCCCTATCCACACAGCTGATATAACCACATTTGAATAATAACTCAATATCTTAAGCCCATTTTTAAAACGTCGATGCAATATAGTCGTATAAAGTAGCATGACAGTCATAATAATAAGGTCTGCCACAACGAGAGAAATCATAGAATACCACTATAATTTACATTAAAACTCTTCACTCAAAGCACTTACCCTCCAATCCTCTTCATCTTCTGCTCTACACATAAATTCAGTCCTTACTTGGCATCCAAAACTAGTGCCGCTGTAAAACTCAGAACTGAGCAGATCGCACAGAAGAGGTATTGTACTGCCAGCAGCACTCTTCGCTTGTAAGTGTAATTTTCTACTCTGTTTCTCCATTCACTGTACTCTTCTCAAAGTTCTTTTACTCAGCACATTTATTAATTTAAAACCTAAAATATTTTGGGGTTTTGGGGTTTTGGGGTTTTGGGG